AAATAAATAAATAAATAAATATTCTTTTAAATATCTAAGGATAAGGATAATGGCAACAAATGTATTATTTATTTATTTATTTATTTTAAGGGTAGGTTCGATTTAAATCTATTTAAAATGGTTTTTTTTAAAATGGGCTTCTGACAATTTATACCAAAAAACTGATTTGTTAAAATTTAAATTGTGTTTTAAATTGTCATCTAAATCAATTTGATTTTTTTTTTAAAAAAACACACATTGATTTTTATCCACCTGGTTTATTTTCTCCCCAGTGTTTTCTGTTGTCCTTACACCAATCCATTGTTTCTGCCTGATTCATTTACGACGTGGCGGCTGCTACTCTGGATCCATAGGTTGACTGAACATGTAATGTTTGTGATTCCCTAACCAATTAGCTCCCCAATAATGGGTTCCTTTCTTTCTTTTTGAAATATAGATGCCAGGATCTCTTAATTCCCCCAAGTCAGACCATTCTCCACCTGTTGTCTTGAAGATGCAGCTCCCGCTAGAGGACAAGCAGGAGGATGACTGGGAAGCTACCTTGTCTGGTAAGCGTGTTTATTCTCTTGAATTACCAGAAGCTCTGTCCCGGCATCCTCCTCAATATAGACCAGTCCCTTTGAGAAACCTCATTAGCTTGTTGTCAGGATAAACAAGTTAGAAACTCTGTGAGTTGCCTTGAACCCATTGGAGGAAGTATTTATTGCATTTCAATTCTACCTTTCTTTGAAGGAGCTTATGATAGTTTTATGCAGTTGCCCTCTCTCTCTCTCCACCCCCCAGTTCCCATTTTAGCCCAATGACAACGCGATAAGGTAGGTTAAACTGAGAGTGAGCTTCATACATAGCTGACTTGGAATGACATATAAATGTAATAAGTAATAGGATTCCCACCAGCATCTTGTAAAGCAGTGGTATTCAACTTTGGGTCTGGCCAGATGTTCTTGAACTACAACTCCCAGAAATCCTGGCCAACACAGCTAGCAGTGAAGGCTTCTGGGAGTTTTGAACCAGGACCAATTTGGGAACCCAAATTGGGAACCACTGCTCTAAGGTAAAGACGGATCTTGCTCAGCCTCTTAGTAGTAGCGGCCTCGCTTTGCTGTTGGTTGCTGTGCAGCAAGGAGTAGAGCTCTCATGAATGACGTATATTATTGCAGGCCTGTTTGTCAATGGTCAGTGGTCATGGTGACTAGAATGAATCTTTTAAGTTAGTGGGGGCCAAACAAAGACAAATTTTACCTCCCCTGTTCTGCCAGTTGACGTTCCAAGAGGTACAGTGGTGCCTCAACGATGATAATCCATTCCAGGAAAATTGCCGTTAAGCGAAAACATCGTAAAGGGAAAATAAAAACCCCATTGAAATGCATTGAAACCCGTTCAATGCATTCCAGTGGGGTAAAAACTCACTGTCCAGTGAAGCTCCTCCATATGGCGGCCATTTTCGCTGCCTGTATAGCGAGGAATCCGTCCCTAAACACAGCGAGGAGCCGTTTTAATTAACCGGCGGCAATTTTGAAACTGCCAATAAGCTGTTCTAAAAACATGGTTTTGCGAAGATTCGGTTCCTGAAGCAAGGAACTGATCATCGCAAAGCGAAATTCCCCCATTTAGATAATTGTTTTGCGATCGCAAAAAGATCGTCGTAAATTGGATTCGTTGTAATGTGGGGGCAGTCGTTAAGCGAGGCACCACTGTATTAAATGGGCCACTCTAGGAAACAGGGTGTGGTTCCATTTAGGCCTGTAGTCTAATTTGATAGGGCTCTTCATACGTCCTTATGGAGTGTTTGTTGGTTTGTTTGCACAGGCAATGAACAAGTGCAAGATGAGGAGGAGGAGGAGGAAGAGTATTTCCAAGCCGAATCAGTGGGTGTTGGTGGTATTTTGCTGGAAAGAGCCAAAGGGAAATGTTTCCAGGACCTGGAAATGGATGAAATGCCCGACAGCCAACAGGGACCAGAAGGTCACCAGGAGAATCGTCCTGCAAAAGGGGCAAAACTTTGTCAGGAAGGCGACAGAGGTTCCTTCCAGGAGGGAACCCACAGGCACAATGACTCAGGGGAAAGCTCCTGTCACAGTTTTGGCCATCAGGAAGTGCAGCCGATTGAGAAACCCCACAAATGCTCCTTGTGTGAGGCAAGCTTCTACGAGAGAACCCACTTGGTTATACACGAGAGGATCCACACGGGTGAGAAGCCGTACAAATGCTCTGTGTGCGAAACTTGGTTCTCGCACCCCTCGGAACTGATGAGGCACGAGGAAACCCACATGCCTGAGAAACCCCACAAATGTGGGGTCTGTGGGAAAAGCTTCAATCAGAAAGCCTCCCTTATCACGCACGAGAGAACCCACACAGGAGAGAAACCGTACGAATGCTCCGAGTGTGGGAAGAGCTTCAGCACCAGTTCCCAGCTTATCACACATAAAAGAGTCCACACGGGCGAGAAACCGTACAGTTGTTCATACTGTGGCAAGAACTTCAATCAGAAAGCCTCCCTGATTACACACAAGAGAACCCATACGGGGGAGAAACCGTACGAGTGCACGCTCTGTGGGAAAAGCTTCAGCGCTTGCTCCCAGATTATCAATCACATAAGGGTCCACACGGGAGAGAAGCCCTACGAATGTTTAGAGTGCGGGAAGCGCTTCGGTAGTAGCTCCCACCTCACGGATCATAAGCGAACCCACACGGGCGAGAAGCCGTACAAGTGCTCCGACTGTGGGAAGAACTTCAGCCGAAGTTCCAACCTTACAGCGCATAGCCGTATCCACACAGGAGAGAAGCCATATATATGCTCAGGTTGCGGCAAGAGCTTCAGGCAGAAAGCGTCGCTCATTACACACAAGAGAACCCACACGGGCGAGAAACCCTTTGAATGCTCCGAGTGCGGGAAGAGCTTCATTTCGAGCTCCCGGCTCGTCAGCCATAAACGGGTGCACACGGGGGAGAAGCCCTACGAGTGCTTAGAGTGTGGGAAATGCTTCATTTCCAGCTCTCACCTTCTAAGTCATAAAAGAGTCCACACAGGAGAGGAGCCATATAAGTGCTCGTAGAGTTGGCGAGGTCACTGTCACAAGGCTGCCCCTATCCAGTGTTGGTGGCACCTACTCCTGGGCCGGGCATCCTGTACTCTAGGGATGGCTTCGCTCCTATAATCTTGAGGGCCATTTTATTTTCTAGATGTCATATGACAGCACAGAACCTATCTAAGTGTTTAAACAAGCAAGCAAATGACCATTTTTTTTTATTTTCTAGATGTCATATGACAGCACAGACCATTTTTTTTTCCAGAGGGCCAGGTAAGTTTCCTCAGAGGGCCAGATCAGGACCCTCTGCTACCTATCTCGGGCCATCTGCATTAAGCTGGTTGATGTATGCCTTCAGCATGGTAGCCACCCCCAACATGGCACCCTCATTCTGTGGGGACCCAGACCCTGATTTCCTGGTGGTCTCTTTGCTCGCCTTCCCCGAAGGCAGGGAGGGGCATTCCAGCAAAGCGCATGAGATGCATACTACACTGCCCGACCAAGTGAACTTCGTAGTGGGAGGAGCGCACGTTAGGCTGATAGGACCAGTGGTCTGACTTGACGCAAAGCAGTTTGGGGGTTCGTGCATAGGATTCCAAGCAGGGAATTGTGGGCTGCAGTCCTAAAATGCAAGCTTTCCTATATAAATAGCAGGTAGAATCATAGAATCAAGGAGTCGGAAAGTCTGTAAAGCCATTGAGTCCAGCCCCTTGCTCAGTGCAGGAATCCAAATCAAATTGAAAGTCACTCTTATCAGCTGAGAAAGATCTGACCAGTCACCACCCATGGGCCTTGAGCGTGTTGCAGAGGATTCTGGGAAATGTTCTAAGACACACACATTCACACAACATTGCATGGGAGCGCCTGGCTGGGTTTTTCTGGTGTCTCTGTAGCTTTCCTCATCTCCTTCCACTGTGACCAAATTGTGTGCCTTTGAAACCATTCCTGCGACCGGCCATTTCAGTCATGTTGAGAGTTTGTCCACTGTTGCTTTTCTTTCCCATGGAGGAGCCCGTAAAGGAATGGCAGGACTTCCTTGGGCACTGTTTTTATAATTGCCGACTCCCCTGAAAAGCTAGTAGGCTGTAGACCCAGAGGAGCAGAAAATGAGGTAGAGCAGCTCTTTGGGGAGGTGAGCAGGTCAGTGTAGCTGTAACCCCTCTGCCTGTTGCAGTGTAAGCTCAAAACTGGTCAAGGATCCCTCGCTCCTAGTTCAGGAGAAATTAATCCAGTTCCATCAGGGTCAACCCCAGCCCATGAGGATGGTCCTGATCTGGTGGCTGTCTCAGCTGAATAAGCTCACCTCTGCTTTTCCCTTTTGTTTTTCTGCATGAAGAGTATGATTTCTTTTTCATTTATTTTATTGTAATGCTTCCTATGATTCTGAAGCTGTCCTCACCTAGAGAGTGGCCTCATGGTGGTTCAGCCAAAGCTGGGCTGGACAGCACGAGGCTCTCCAGATGCTTTTGGACTACCTGGACCATCATTTCCTCACTACTAGCTAGGCTAGTGAGTAGAGATGAGCACAAACCAGTTCATCCCAGTTTATCCCAGTTTGTAAAGGTGGCAGCACAGGTGCTGCTGCCCACCTCCCCTGCCTCCTTAGCCTATCAAGCCACTTGCCAGGCCCAGCTTGCTTGTTTCTCCCACCCCTTCAGCTGATCTCCCAATCAGAAGCCAGAGCACAGACTTCTCTGCCCCGCCCTTTTTTCTGAGTGGGCGATCAGCCACGAGGGCAGGGCAGAGAAACCTGAGCTGTTACTGGGACTGGTAGATCAGTTGAGGAGGTGCAGGAAGCCTAGCACGCTGGGCCTGGCGAGTGGCCAATCGAGCTGGAGGAGGCGGGCGAGGGGAGCGGCAGCACCTGTGCTGCCATCTTGATGAATTGGGATGAACTGGGATAAACTGTTTCTTGCCCATCTGTACTGGTGGGAATTATAGTCCTGACAACATCTGGAGTGCCACAATTGGCCTGTTTCTCAGCTGGACAAGGCAATATATCCCCCATGGCTATTTTAGAATGATTGCCTGGTGCCCTCATTTGTTGGTGACAACGAACTGCTGCTGAGAATTAGCAGGAATTTTGCCACAGAAAATGGAGTGAAATGAACCATTCTGAAGAAGAAAAAGATTCTCCCCCTGCCACTGTCTCGCGCCGTTGAGTCTTTTTACAGCTGGATTTCAGTTTGTAGGGTTGTGACCCCTGGGAAATCCATTATCTCTTGTCGAGGCTGATGGTCCCCTGGTAAAGGCCAAGAGCTGAGTACAGTGGTACCTCGCAAGACGACAATCCCGCTAAATGACAAATCCACATAACAATGACTTGCGATCGCTATAGTGATTCGCAAAATAGTCATTCCAATGGGAGATTTTCGCTGGATGTCAATTAGGTCCGTGCTTCACGAACTGTTTGTTTGCAAGGCGATGATTTTTTCCGATGATGGTCGGCTTCTCAAAATGGCTCTCCTGTGTTTTCCGGACCCATGCTTCGCAGGGTAGCCATTTTTACAGCTGATCGGCACTCGCAAAATGGTTTCTTTATGGGCGATCTTCGCTGGACGATGAGGTATTTTCCCCATTGGAACGCATTAAACTGGGTTTCAATGCATTCCACTGGGGAAAGGGTTTTCGCATGATGACGATTTCGCTAAACAGCGATTTCAGTGGGACAGATTATTGTCGTCATGCGGGGCACCACTGTATATTATTTTAAAATAAGGAACCCCCAAATAATTTCCTTGACCTCTGCTGCCACTACCTTGTAAATCAGATAGGTAGGAATGTTCCATCCTGTCAAGTCGCTTCCAGCTAATTGCAGTCCTTACAGGATTTCTGAAGTGTGTCAGATATTCAGCAGATTAGCATAGAACAGAATCACAGAATTATGCAGTCAGAAGGCGCCCATAAGGCCATTGAGCCCAACCTTCCTGCTCAATGCAGGAATCTAAATCAAAATACTGTAGATCTGACAAGCGGTTCTCCAAAACACTCTTGAATACCTCCAACATTGTAGCGCTCACCACCTCCTGATGTAACTGGCTCTACTCTATTTTCCATTGGTACCCTCTGGTGAATTCCCATGGTTGAGTTACGATTTGAACCCAGATCTCCAGAAACCTAATCTTTACACACACACCATCAGATAACGCTGGCACTGAAATAAGACTGTTAACTTCTTATCAGGCCACAGGTTGAAGCCATAGGATACAACATGATAAGTCAGCTAGCTTGGCCTGCCTCATTCTTCTTTACCAGCTGTTTTCTTCTCTAGCAGCTGTACAGTGAAATTAAGATATTTTCCAGTGATATGGTGGAAATTTCAGCCAAGGGAACGTGGTAATTGTAGCAGTAGCTATGTACTGTCAAGGCGTTGTTCACCCCAATGAATGAACAATCTCCATAATGTCCTGTCCTCAACTGGCCTGCTCAGCTCTTGCAGATTCAAGCTGGTGGCTTCCTTTAGGAAATCAGCCCATCTTGTATTTAATCTTCCTCTTTTCCTGCTGCCTGCGACTTTTCCCAGCGTTACTGTCTTTTCCAGAGAATCTTCCTCATGATGTGCCCAAAGTTGGGACACTCAATTCCAATTTTTCCCCCCTCCAGAGATAATTTAGGCTTGATTTGCTCTAGGACCCAATGAAATTGTAGAACGAAGGAGAAACTAGATTTCCACTGCTTTGTTACATGCCCTCCAATTACTTCAGGCATATGGTGACCCTATAAGTCAGTGACCTCCAGAAGGCCCTGTAATAAATAGCTCCGCCCAGGACTCGCAAAATGAAGGCCATCTCGTGTTTGACTTGAGTCAGTCCATTTCACGTTCTGTCTTCTACTGCCTTCCACTTTTTCTAGCAGCATTGTCATTTCTAGTGGGGCTTGTCTTTCCAGGATAGAGAAGGTGACAGCTTTATAGAACAACAATTCTCCTGAGTTTTAAGGGGAGTGGTGGTATGGAAGCAGTGACCATTAAACTGGTTCTAAATATGTTTGTTCCTGTTCTTGGGAGTAAGTCCTGTTGAATTCAGTGGAACCTATTTCTGGGTCAACATGCATAACAGTATCCTGTTGTAAGTTGCAGCGCGGGTATGCTCAAATGTGAATTGACCCCTAAATATGAAGGTTCCGTTTTTCACTACTTAAACGTCCAAAACTTCTAGAGAACAAAACACCAAGAAACAATGCTCCGAGCAACTTCTTTTGGAGACGGCTATAGGATGTGAACATAATAGATGGCAAGTCATTTTCTCTTCTTTGGTAACCAGAACTAGAGGTTACTGGGTGACATTTGTTGGCACTACATTTGGGACAATTTTTTAAACCTCACCCTGTTGCTCAGGTGCCGTCACATGCAGTGCATAATCTTAAATTGGTTTAGATGACTTGGTTACCATTTCAGATACAGTAATTTTGTTTGAACAGTTTCATGGAGAGGTAGGACTGCTGATGGAGCCTCCAGTCAGGATAGCACTGTATCCAAAGAAGACCAGTTGTTGAGGGCTTAGTGGAAAGGGGAGGCTATGTAATTGAAGCACGTGTGAACTAGGAATTGTGTGCCATAAAGGTAGTGGGCTGGGTAAATGGAATAAGGTGGTTTGTCCCAAAATGCCGCCTAGTAATTACATGGAGGGTGCTGCCGGAGAAGTAAAAATGCAGGGCGCTTCTGTAGGAAAGTGGGCGATCTTATTTCCCCCAAAATAAGACGGGAGGAAAAGTTATATATTAATTTTTGGTCCAAAAACCACATTAGGGCTTATTTTCAGGGGATTTTTTTTCATGGACAACAATCTACATAGCGACGTTAATCCGTGCAGCAAAAATCTCTGCTAAGTGATTTTGTTGGTATGCAATTTAAAAAAGCCCATAGAAACGCATTAAAACCTGTTTAATGCGTTCCTATGGGCAAAAAACTGACCTTAAAGTGAAGATCCTCCATACAGCGGCCATTTTTGTTGCCTCTAAAGCGAGGAATCCGTGCGAAAACACAGCGGGCGGCCATTTTTTAACCCGGCGGCCATTTTGGACCCGCCGATCAGCTGTTAAAAAAATAATCGCTTTGCGATGATCGGTAAGCGCCGCTGATCAGCTGTTTAAAAAATCATCGCTTTGTGATGATCGGTAAGCGAAACAGGGAACCAATCATCGCAAAGCAAAAAAAGCGCATAGGAAACATCGCAATGCGATCGCAAAAAGTTTGTCGCTATGCGGTTTCGTC